TTTTTCTACACGAAGCTTTTGCATCAGTTACTTTCTGCCCTCTGTCAGTTGAGCATGGATCTTTGTCCATGGATTATATGACCAGCTGCTATACAAATCTAAAGAGAGAATCAGTGATAAGTGAGTCTGTGTGACACAGGCTAAAAGTTAGGATGCCGTGGTGGAAAGAGAAAGGACATCATGTCTGGCAGCCTTGGATCTGAGTCCTCCTGCTGCCAGATCCTACCACAAGACCTGCAGAATGATGCTCCTCAGGTTGCTGTGAGGGTCACATGGGCTGACTTAAGATAATAAGTGACTGGCATGTTGAAGGTGTCTAAGAAATGATGGCTGCTTTCTTCAGTACATCCAGGTATGGCCACATTGCGTCAAGTTTTCCTTCTGCGATTGAGTGGAGCATTCCCACAGTGCCTTTCTGACTTTAAAGCATTGAGGTTCAGGACACCTGGGTGGCTCAGTGGTTGAACGTCTGCCTTAGGCTCAGGTCTTGAACCCAGGGTCCTGGGATTGAGTTCTGCATCTGGCTTCCCACAGGGAGCCTGCTTCTTCCTCTGCCTATATCTCTGCCTTTTCTGCCTTTCTCTCTGTGTCTCTCATGAATAAATAAATTAAGTCTTAAAAAATTATAAAAGAAAATAACACATTGAGGTTCTGTGAAGTGAGGAACAAGCCTCCTGAGTTCTAACCCACAGAATATTTCTTGTTTGGGTAAAAATTCAGACCTTAGCCATCATTTGGGAAAACTGATTACCAGATTTTTTTTTTTTTTTAAACACATAAGCTCAGAGAGAAATGAGAAGACTGAGGTTTTTCTGGGGACAGACCATACTAACTCATGAAACAACTCAAGAAACTGTTTCACTTTATATTTTCAAAAGAGTAGCTTCTAAAATACTTGTAAAATATTTCAAAACTAAATGTACCCTTGGGTCTTTCTGAGTGACAAAAAGGAAGGCATTACGGTGGATATATTACAAATTTAGGGAGAGGTTTGTTTTAAAACTGCTTTGTTATTCCCTTACTGTTTCCCCCCCCCCCCCCTCGTTCACGGACCTCTTTCTTTGAAAAGCTTCTTCATCTTAGGTATCCCGCTTTGTCCTGAACATGCATGGTTACTTCGGACGCGTCCCTGCCCGATGTGAACTGACAGGAGACTGTGGTCAGCACAAAGGCTGGGGGGATTGCACGTGACGGAGCCCAGCTCCCACAGATGACGGTGCTACCTGTATCCTTCACTAGACCCAAGTGAAAGCCTGCATTTCTCCTTGGACTTAGCGTTACTAGGCAGCTATTCAAACTCTTGGCCCACTCAAGCCGGGACTTGAAGGCATAAAAGCCAAGAGAGAGGTTGCCCATTATTCATTCCAGAGGCGCACCACAGTTTTGATTCCAGTCAGGTAAAATCATTAACACATCCCCCATGCTCTCTGCCTTTGGAGAACACAAATTTAGGGTATGTAAAGGCTCAGTGGAGATCCTGCATTGGGCAGGATCAGTGCCTTTGAAACCCCATCAGTTGAAGGATCAGTGGAGATCTTCAAGCCAAGGCATAGAAAAAGAACCTTCAAAATTGTTAAGTACAGAAAGAGAATTTATTATCATTTTTAAAAGTTATAGATTGTTACTACCTTTCTTAGAGGTATTTGGGATGATTTCCAGGATATAGGTATAAAACAGATTCATCCTCCAGTTAATAGTTGCTCCAGTTTTTTGCTTTTATTGATTTTAGCCTCTATATAGTGTCTGTTGTTTTAAACAAATTCTGAACAGCTCTTCAATACAAATAGTATTTGGCTCTTTCAGCTCTTCCAAATGATATTACTGGATCTACTTTTCGGCTACATGCTTTCTTACAGGTGGTGTAGAAATGTTTTTTTCTGTGAGTACACTGTGGGAACATTGGTCTCACTGAGGCATCTTGGCTTGAGAGTTGGGGTGGTGATTTTCTGTGAACAGAGTTCATCTCTTCTGCTGCTTATACTGCCTCCCTGTACCTTCTCTGCTCTCTTCTGTCACAGGAATGGCCATCATAAATGTCATTTCAGAGACGAGTAAATTGTAGACCCTCAAGGGACCTTAGAAGTGACCTTGTTTAACCTACTTTGACTTGATGGTAGCCAACTGAGGCCTAGAGAGGCTATGGGATTCACCTAAGGACCTGCATTAGTTAATAGCAAGAATTAGGGAAAGAAAAAAAAAACTTTCCTGAATTTCTAGGCTTAGATCAAATGTTTAGTAAGATGATTAGCTAATCATACCTCCCTTTGTAGTATTTTGTATGGAACTGGAAGTTTTCAAGCTATTTGTAATTTATTTGGCTAGTTTTTAGAACACTGCTAGCAAATTAGTGCATTCTCAAAAGTTTACAAAGTCGTAGACGAAGTCACATGTGGCATTACAGATTTTTTTTGAGTTTGTATTATATGATTAATGAAAATGTAGAGCAATGCAAGTTGTCTCTATTTTAAATGACTAGGAAGTCATTTGCTTTTCTCAGTACATTTTCACGTTGAAGTAAATCCAAACATGAAAAAGTTTTCATTTTCTTAAAAAGGTGTACATCTTTTATATTCATGGCCAAGAATATAGAATACGGGGATTACAATCACTATAGTAAAACTAGGTTTATGCTGTGTAAAATCATAAAATAGGAGCTTATGAAGTAGGAGTCCTGGGCACTACTCTTAAAACTATCAGATCTGCAACTGATTACTGCTGTTTCCATGGTTTTTTAAACAGACACATACATTCCTACCATGTGGGAGGGTAGCTGCCCTTGGCAGTAAATGGCCTTCAGCAAGCCATTGTTTTGCCTACACTTTCCTTGAGATCAATAGGATTTGGGTGCTGGCACCTCTTGATTGTCTCCATGCCCTGCTAAGCTTGGTGTGCAGTGGCCCGTGGTTATTAAAATCCTTATCACCATAAGGAGTTGATTATGAGCATAGTTATTTTCTGGGATTAGAGAGGCCTGCTGAATTCAACAAGTGACTCAAAAATAGTTTTATATTTCCTAATAATTAAAAGTGTGATTAATACGAGCAATTAGTTCCTGTGATTTAACTGTTCAAAGAGGGAATTCAGGAAGTAAAAATACATAGGATGAGCAAGGTAAGGAGCCATAGGATATAATTTAAATTTAAGTTCCTCAGACATCAGAAGAGTTGGCCCACATAAGATAAACTCCTTTCAATGCCATGAAACTAAATGAGACCTGTTTTACATAAATGGGCCACCTTACCTTCACAGAAGGTCTGCTGTCTGGGTGTGGCTGTGTGCCCTTAAATGGCGGGCAAGAGGATTCTTGTCCATTAAACTGGGATTAGCTAGCACCAAGAGACCTTGAGATTTTTCATTCTATGCAGAATTTCAGCTTTTTCAACATTTAAGAGTGAAAAGACAAGTGACTTTTTTTTCCCCCTCCTGGGGCAGCTGTATTTAAAATTTTTTTTGCGTGAAATTACCTGATGGGATTATAGCCAGAATTGAATGCTGATAGGTAACATTTGAACTTTTTTCCAAGGCTTAGTTGGTTTGTTCCATATGTTCTGCATTTTACATTTTGAAATTTTAAAAATTGACCACATGATTTTGTGTTTTTAGCCCAAAATGTGATTTGTGTTAATTGGATACGTTGTGATGTTGTTGACAAGGTACCTTTTCGTGAGAACTCTCTGGGGGCAGTGACCACTCAAGGCCCAATTGTTCATTGATGGAATATTGATTCTTCTGGGGTTTCAGAAAGGATGCTACATGGATTCCACTGAGCTGGTTTTTGGGTTCTGTATCAAGAAAATGCATGGTCCATTTATATGTTGGTTTGTAATAAAGTTAGCTGCATAGGCAGATCTTTACTTGACAAGTTGAGAATAATTTGTAGAATCCTAATTTAGTAACGAATCTATTCAGAAAACCCATTTTGCACTCTCCCAATGTGAAAGGATCAATCAATCTTCTGTGCAAATAAGTAAATATGAAGGAAGAAGCTAGGTAATTATGAAAACCCAAGCTTAGAATTATTGTCTAATGACTCAGTTAGTTTAAAGGTATCTGTGGGCATAGTTACTCTGGACATTGACTTGACTTAAAGCATAGTCTTCATCTTGTAGGTACTTACTTTTCTCTCACAAGTTTTCATCATCTTACTGCCAGCCAGCCACAACCCATATGATGATAGTGGCATTTCATTTTTTATCCCAGCCTGTTGAGTTAGGAATTTTCTCACTTCTAAAGCCTTATAGCTGAATACATTTATTTAAAATTAAAATGTAAACCTCAATTCCAGCTGTTAATGAGTGAGTAATTCCTTACATTTGGAAACAAGACTAATACAGCCATGAGTGTCTAGTCCATGTTAGAGTAGGGATGGGGCCATCTCCCTTCTCCCCACCCCTAGCCGAGAGAAGAAGGGTTCCCCATGCTAACCTGTGGGTGGAGAAGGAACACTTGGACTTCAAACCTTGATGTGATCTCTTCTGGGTGAGGAGACAGGTGTTTCTGACATACCAGGTTCTGGATTGGCATTGGGCTCCTGTTACAGGAAGGGTTAACATATGCATGTGTCATCTTTGCTTCTAGGTCAATGCACAGAGACTTGTGTAATCCATAACAGAGCTGAAGTGTAGGTATCCAACAAAATCAAAGAGCTGGAGGACTTCAATGTCCTTGTTTTTTTAAGGGAGATTCTGGGTACTTAGTCATCAGTTCTAACATTGTTGCTAAGGAGCTGTTTACTCAGTATTCCATGTAGGTGACTTGCCAGCTCACTTATAAAGTTAGCTTCTGTTTGAATACATGTAGTATTCAGCCAGTGTCTAGCCACCTTGTTCTATGCTTTGCAGTTCAGCTCTCTCAAAGTGAGGGACAAAGAGACAAGGTGGCAGCTGGGCAGTCAGCCTGGCTGCCTCCTGAGTGCAAGTAGCTCCTTGTGCATCCTCTGGGATGCTGTGAGGAATAGGCAGTTGATGCTTAATTGGTTTCACTTTTTTCCCCCACCTTAGGATGATTCCAGCCCTGCCACTCCAGATGGGAACACATCCTCCACTACAACGACCAGTGCCTTCACCATCCAGGAGTACTTTGCCAAGCGGATGGCAGAGCTAAAGAACAAGCCACAGGTCATAGCAGCAGGGCCTGACTTTGCAGAGACCCAAATGGAAAGAAAAAAGGGAAAGAAAAGAAAGAAAGAGGCAAAAGATAGAAAAGTGGAGACTTACACCGTACCCAAGGCCAAGAAGAAGAGACACCAAGTTGAGTGGCAGCTTGGAGACCCTTGTTGGGACAAGAATTCTGGTGTTTCTGCCAAAAATGGAGAAGATTGTGTGTGGCCACCTCATGTCCAGGACATTACCCTAAAGTCCAAGAAAAGAAGAGAAAAGAAAAAGCTACAAAACCAAGTTGAAGTAGCTGTGGACGCTACATTACATGACACACCTGTGAAGAAGAAGAAGAAAAAGAAGAAAGGTTCCGAATAAATTCTCTTGAGCTGGGGCCTTCCAGCCACTAAAGCTGTCGGGCCCTGTGTGCAAACCCTTTTGGATTGAAGTCAGAGCAGAGTTCACCCGAGAGAGTTTGTGCACATCTTTTGACATGCCCGGGGGTTGCCGAGTCTTGCCCTCTTACCACAGTTTTCCTACCACATCTCTGGAGAACTTTCTAATGTCCCAAATCATGGCTCTCATAAACAAATATATTTCTTGTTAGACTGCAAGCCCTTCAGCATGAGTGTTGATTCATTTGTATATGAAAGCATCGTTATGTGTGTATGCACGTGTGTGTGTAGGTTTGTCATAGTCTATATTTGCTCTTGATTTCTTTCAGTAACAATGAATTGTGCTTCCTTCTCAAGGACTTAGTCTAATTAAAGGATTAAGAGGCAATAGTTTGGATTCAGATAGTTCTTTTTGTTCTATAGCCAACCGTACATTTTTGCCAAGCAGGTATTATATGATTACATTCTCAAATCAGAGTGTTTTTGGTTTTGATGAGGAAACTTTTAATATCCTCTCTTCCACTGAGTGGTGGTGGCTGTGTGTTTGGAGGTCTTCTCTAGGAGGCCTCCAACCAGCCATTCCTCACTGAATGTGGGCAGTCAGATCGGTTCCCATGTGCTAGTGCTCAGGGACGGTCCCCTGTCATGGGTCTGACTGACTTGTAGTGATAAGGAGGTCCTCAGGAGGTTAAAAAATGCTGAGGCTCTAAGAGCATGAGGTTAATTTCCTCTGGAAATCAGGCAGTCTCTAGATTAGGACTGCCTCATGAAAGCACTTTAAAGTATAAATAGTTAGCTATCTTTCCATCCTGCTCACACCAAGTAGTCTCACCTCTTCATGTTCATCCTGCCTTCTGCCACACCCTGGCGAAGTTCAGTCTCCCTGTGTGCTAGTTAATCTCTCCTTGTGCAGCTTCACCTTAGGCCTCCCCATGCCCTCTTTGGGACACAGTGAAAAAGTTTGCTTGCTTCAAGTTTAGAGGTCCGTCCCTACTGCATTTGCAGCTTGTTTGCCCTCTGTCTTCTTTCTACTCATCTGTTCCTTCTCCATCCTTTTCCTCTTCTACTCCCTTTTCCCTGCCCTCCTTTTACTTTCAGCCCTCTGCTTTCTTGAACCCCATTTCTGGCTGCCTGCTCCCCCCACTGCTCTCGCAGGTTGCCATTTTGGCCCACTCTGCCAGGCCTGTGACCACAGGTGCAGGGGGCACTGGGGCACTAGAGGCTGTGTGTTCCCCTCCACCTGACTCCGAGATGACCACGGGGTAGCAGGAACTAGAACGCACAACGGTCTGCTGACCTTTTGCCCTTGATTCTAACTCTCGTCATGCATTACATAGGAACCGTGGCCCTGAGGTGCTTAAAATCGAAAAAAAAAATCTATAAAGAATGTTTGGTTTTAAGTCCCTTAAAGATTCTGAACAGGGCTAATTGTTTAAACACACACACACACACACACACACACACACACACACACACCCCACAGAGAAAATTCTTAGGAATTCAGAGCCCGAGGTCTAGTTTCTGAGATTTATCTTGGCTCCCAGAATTTAGGTCCCAGGCTTTGATCCAGGCTAATAAAACACCCAGGGTTTTTCTTTTCTTTTCATTTTTTTAAATTTTCTTTCTTTCTTTCTTTCTTTCTTTCTTTCTTTCTTTCTTTCTTTCTTTCTTTTCTTTCTTTCTTTCTTTCTTCTTTTCTTTTCTCTTTTCTCTTTTTCTTTTCTTTCTTCCTTCCTCTTTCTTTTTTCTTTTTTCTTTTCTTTTCTTCCTTCCTTCCTTTCTTTTTTCCTTCCTTCCTTCCTTCCTTCCTTCCTTCCTTCCTTCCTTCCTTCTCTTCTCTTCTCTTCCTCTCTTTTCTTTTTTCTTTTCTTTTCTTTTCTCTTCTTCTTTTTCTTTTTTCTTTTTTTCTTTTTTTTCTTTTCTTTTCTTTCCAGAGCTTAGGAGAGGGAGAAGGAAACCTTCCTGCTGAGCAGGAAGCCCAGTGCAGGGCTCCACCCAGGACCCTGGGATCATGACCTGAGTTGAAGGTAGTTGCTTAACCGACTGAGCTACCTAGGTGCCCCAAAATACCCAAAATGTTTAAAGTCATTTTTTTTTTTTCGGAGGCTTGAGTTGTCTCTGCCCTGTCTCATCAATGAAACTAGAGTTCCAGAAGGGAGTTGGAATGTATGAAACCTAAAGGGAGCTATCTTTTAAATATATATATAGTTTTATGTGTGTGTATATATGTATGTGTGTGTCTGTACATATATATATGTTATTAAAATTATTTTACTGATAAAAATCAGTGCCAGAAGAATACACTGAATTGTGTGTAGGCAGAGGAAACATAGGTATTTAGGATGCAGGTGCAATGCATCTAGGTCAAATGGAGTGAAGGGGCCAGCTGGGAAGACCAGAGGCCAGAGGTGCTGAAGGGACATTCTTTGACATTTCAAGGCAATCACACTGCAAGATGAAGTGCAGCTTCCATAGAGCAAGCCTGTAGACTGTGATGATTATTATTTTTTATTATTTTTATTTTTTTGTGACAATTATTATTTTAATGGGCTGCAGAACTTCTAAATGATTTTAATGACCAAATGGATACCTTTTACCCTGAGTAAAAGGCACACCATCAGCAAAGAACAAACTGTGTGACCATTTGCTTTGAAGGAAAAAATCTTTATTTTCTCTGGACATCCTTAGCTTTTATTTTTCCCAAGTGTCTCTTTTTCAGGACACTTAGTTTTCTGGATGTAAGTGGAAGTCAGAACAATGGAATAAATCCTCTTGAGAACTGCATTTCTTAGGCATATTTTTAAATTGTTAACATATAAATCCTATTTTTTGCTTTATATTATCTGGATAAAAATAGATTTTGTATTCAGTGCTTTCTGCAGGTTTTAAGAGGGCAAGTAGATTGGAGATTTATCCAACAAGGAGGTTCCTAAATGTTGTCTTGTAGTCCCCTTCTTTCCTTTTTTTGTTAATTTTAATAGATAATAATTACTACTACATGAAATCCTATGTGCCTGGCCCCTATTCCAAGCAGTTTAAATAATTCATGTAGTCCTCACAACACTCAGTAAGATAACCGCTATTGTAATTCCATTTTACAGATAAATTGTTTTTAAAAGGACCTCCTTCAATTTGTGTAGCTAGATTAATGCTGCTCCCAGAGAACCAGATGAATCAGTCATCTCTCCACCTGACTCCGAGATGGCCATAGGGTAACAGGAACTAGAACGCCCAAGGGTCTACTGACCTTTCGCCCTGGTCACAAATCCATGCTCCTTTACCACATCCAGTTTCACCTGTTGTTAGCAAAACTTTCTATTGCTGGTGCTCTTACTTCACATATCACTGTTACTTTTATTTATATATTCTCTGTTTTAAAAGAATAGCACCAGTCACCCATTTTTTTTGCACTCCCATATCTTGCAACCACCAATCTGTTTTCTGTCTGCCTGTCTGTCTGTCGCCAAAACACAACGTTTTCTGTATCTATTAGCTTGATTTTGTTTTTTCTTTTTTTGTTTACTTATGTTTTTTAGATTCTACATGTAAGAGAGATCATATGGTATTTGTTTTTCTCTGACTTCTTTCACTTCACATAATAACCTTGAGGTTCATCCATGTTGTTGCAAATGGCAAAATTTCATTCTTTTTTATGGCCAAATAATATTCCTCTCTGTGTTTATAAATTTCTTTATCCATCCATTGATGGACACAGGTTTTCCTCCTATTTTAGCCAATGTAAATAATGCTGCAGTGAACATGGGAGTGCATATATCTTTTCAAAGTAGTGTTTTGTTTTCTTTACATAAATGCTCAGAAATGGAAATGCAGGATCATATGGTAGTTATATTTTTAATTTTTTGAGGAACTTCTATACTGTTTTTCATAGTGGTTCACCAGTTTATATTTCCACCAGCACTGCCCAGGTGTTCCCCTTTTTCCGTACTTCCTCACCAACATGTGCTATTTCTAATCTTTTTTTATCATAGCCATTCTAACAGGTTTGGGGTGATATCTCATTGTGGTTTTGATTTCCATTTCCCTGATTAATGATGTCAAACATTTTTGGGAGATACCCGTTGGCCATCTATATGTCTTCTTTGGAAAAATATCTGTTCAGATCTTCTGCCCATTGTTTATTTAGGTTTTTTTTCTGTTGAGTTGTATGAGTTGCCATTGAGTACTTTATATATTTTGGATATTAGCCCCTTATCAGATGTATGATTTTCAGCTGTTTTCTCCCATTCAGTAGGTTGCCTTTTCATTTTGTTGATAGCTTCCTTTGCTTCCTTTTAGTTTGATGTATTCCCACTTGTTTACTTTTGCTTTTGTTGTTTTGGTTTCGATATCAGATTTTAAAAACCATTGACAAGATCTACAGCAAGGAGCTTACTGCCTGTGTTTTCTTCTGGAGCTTTATGATTTCAGGTCTTACGTTCAAGTCTTTAATCCATTTTGAGTGAATGTTTGTGTATGGTGTAAGATAGTGGTCCAGTTTCATTCTTCTGTGTAGCTATCCAGTTTCCTCAAAACCATTTTTTGAGGACACTGTCCTTTCTCCAAGGTATATTCTTGGCTCCTCTTTCATAAATTGATTGGCCATATATGTGTGGGCTTATTTCTGGGCTCTCTTCTGTTGATGTGTTTTTGTTTTTATGTCAGTATCATACATTTTTAATTAAAGTAACTTTGTTAATAGACTTAAAAATCAGGGAATGTTTTGCTTCCAGCTTTGTTCTTCTTTCTCAAAATTGCTTGGCTATTCAAAATCTTTGGTGGTTCCGTGCAAATTTTAGAATTGTTTGTTCTATTTCTGTGAAGCATACCTAGAACTTTTGATAGGGACTACATTGAATCTGTATGTTGTTTTAATAATTCTTCCAATCCATGAACATAGAATATCCTTCCATTTATTTGTGTCTTCTTCTATTTATTTTGTTAATGTCCTGTACTTTTTGATACATAGGCCTTTCACCTAGGTTAAATTTATTTCCAGGTGTTTTATTCTTTTGGATGCAGTTGTAAATGGGATTATTTATTAATTTCTCTTTCTGATAACTTGTTATTAGTGGAAAGAAATGCAACAGATTTTTATGTATTGATTTTGTATTCTGCAACTTTACCAACTTTGTTTATTAACCCTAAAAGCTTTTTGGTGGAGTTCTTAGGGGCTTTTATATGTAATATTACAGCATCTGCAAATAGTTTTACTTCTTTCTTCCCAATTTTGAGTGCTTTTTTTTTTTTTTCCATGCCTAATTCCCCGGCTAGAACTTCTAATACTATGTAGGATAAAAGTGGTGAGAGTGGACATCCTTATCTTGTCCCTGATCTCAGAGGAAAAGCTTTCAGCTTTTAACTGTTGAGTCTAATGTTAGCTGTGACCCTGT